TATTTTCAGTTTTAGCTTTTGGTACGAAATATTGAAAAATTAATTTTTTGTCTTCTGTATATATTTATTTGTATATGAATTTCCCAATTTCTAAATTATTTTATATATTTTAAAGAAAGTTCATTGCATTTGTTCTTAAGGTTGTGATTCCTAATGCTTACTTAACAATTTAATCATATGCAGGATTCTACCACTAACAATATTAATAGGCCTGTAAGGAGTATGCCAATGATATGTCATAGTGACTTTTTTTTGTATGTTAGAGGGAACAAGTCGTTAATCTATGCAAGTTCAAGCATCAATGGCAGTACAGAAGCCTTTGTTATAATTGACCTGGAATTATGAGAATGATAAATCTTTCTGCATAAGTCAAAGGTCAGATAGTTGGAGATTCTGGAAGCTATAGCTGGACAAATTGATAAAAGGTGAAGCAGAACAATTGAGAATATAGAGGAGGAATACACATGAATACTCAAATTTAAAATTACAGGTGAAACTCAAAAAATTAGAATATCGTGCAAAAGTTCATTTATTTCAGTAATGCAACTTAAAAGGTGAAACTGATATATGAGATAGACTCATTACATGCAAAGCGAGATAGTTCAAGCCTTGATTTGTCATAATTTTGATGATTATGGCTTACAGCTCATGAAAACCCCAAATTCACAATCTCAGAAAATTAGAATATTACATGAAATCATAGAACAATATCGGACCTCTGAAAAGTATAAGCATGCATATGTACTCAGTACTTGGTTTGGGCCCCTTTTGCATCAATTACTGCCTCAATGCGGGGTGGCATGGATGCTATCAGCCTGTGGCACTGCTGAGGTGTTATGGAAAACCAGGATGTTTCAATAGCGGCCTTCAGCTCTTCTGCATTGTTCAGTCTCATGTCTCTCATCTTTCTCTTGGCAATGCCCCATAGATTCTCTATGGGGTCAGGCGAGTTTGCTGGCCAATCAAGCACAGTAATCCCATGGTCATTGAACCAGGTTTTGGTACTTTTGGCAGTGTGGGCAGGTGCCAAGTCCTGCTGGAAAATGCAGTCAGCATCCCCATAAAGATCGTCTGTGGAAGGAAGCATGAAGTGCTCCAAAATCTCCTGATAGACGGCTGCGTTGACCCTGGACTTAATGAAGCACAGTGGACCAACACCAGCAGATGACATGGCTCCCCAAATCAACACAGACTGTGGAAACTTCACACTGGACTTCAAGCATCTTGCAGTGTGTGCCTCTCCATTCTTCCTCCAGACTCTTGGTCCTTGGTTTTCAAATGAGATGCAAAAGTTGCTCTCATCAGAAAAGAGGACTTTGGACCACTGAGCAACAGACCAGTTCTTTTTTCTTTAGCCCAGGTAAGATGCTTCTGACGTTGTTTGTTGTTCAGGAGCGGCTTGATGAGGAATACGACATTTGAAGCCCATGTCCAGGATCCGTCTGTGTGTGGTAGCTCTTGATGCACTGACTCCAGCTTCAGTCCACTCCTTGTGAAAGTCCCCAACACTTTTGAACAGCCTTTTCCTGACAATCCTCTCCAGGCTGCGGTCATCCCTGCTGCTTGTGCACCTTTTTCTTCCACACTTTTCCCTTCCACATAACTTTCTATTAATGTGCTTTGATACAGCACTTTGGGAACATCCAACTTCTTTTGCAATTATCTTTTGAGGCTTTCCCTCCTTATGGAGGGTGTCAATGATAGTTTTCTGCACAACTTCAGGTCAGCAGTCTTTCCCATGATTGTGATTCCTACTGAACCAAACTGAGAGACCATTTAAAGGCTCAGAAACCCTTTGCAGGTGTTATGACTTAATTAGCTGATTAGAGTGGGAGACTTTGAGCCTAGAATATTGAACCTTTTCACAATATTCTAATTTTCTGAGTTTGTGAATTTGGGGTTTTCATGAGCTGTAAGCCATAATCATCAAAATTATGACAAATCAAGGCTTGAACTATCTCGCTTTGCATGTAATGAGTCTATCTCATATATTAGTTTCACCTTTTAAGTTGCATTACTGAAATAAATGAACTTTTGCACAATATTCTAATTTTTTGAGTTTCACCTGTATATATTTTCCAGCTATACCCCTTTGTCCGTACTTAAAATAATTACGTTTGTTGCATTTTGTGTTAATTAAAATACTTTTGAGTATCAAACAGGCATAAAGACCCTATTAGTCTTTGTCCATTCCACAGAGGAAAGTGATGCTGTTTGCTATCCTACTCTAATTTCCAAATTTCAGATGTTCTCTTGTTCATCATTGGGAAAGTAGATAAAGAACAGTTTATATCCACTAATAGCAATAGCACTTATATATCCCTTCACAGTGTTTTACAGCCCTCTCTAATAAAGTCCTTAGTTGATTGATTGAGTAAAGGTTGGTTCTTGATCTGTGCTTTGCAATGTAGCATGAATTCAGGAACAAAATCTACCCCTTGGAGAGAGAATGAGAGTAGGCTTTTGGTTGATCTTGATGTCAACCCAGTTCATGCATTATAGAACTACTGTACTGCTAAATTTTAAAACTTCCATTCCCTAAGGGAACACTACTTCTAGTTTGTGCTAGCATCAGGTATTTCTGGCTGTGTATTGTTTCTAAAATTGTGATGCCTATTTCAAGTTTTTAGAACAAAAGGGTAGAGCAACAGGTGAACTATGAGTTCCTAGTGCCAAAATAAAAAAAATCATCATGTTTTCAACACATTTAAATATATGGGTTAATTTGTGGGGATTTATTTTTAAATAAAGAATTTAACTTTGTTCTGCTTGCATGCCAATTTCCCACAGCGATAGGCCCTTTGGAGATCTCCTGATAGTTCCTTGGACTATTAGGAATATGCTCCCATTTGTAATCCTTTTCTTTCAAAAAAAAAAAAAATCTCAATTTTTGCATTAGTGTTTACAGCATTGTTGAAATCACTAGTCTCCAGCCTATTTTATTGGAGATTTGAGATACTAAATGGGCCAGCATTGTCAAACTTCTCAGTCATCCTTGGAATTGTCTTTTGTGGGGTTGGCCCCTTCTATCCAAATGGAGAAAGGAATATCTGCCTGCCTCCCTAAGAATGGTACTGGTTGTTCTATCAGGTTTAAAGAACATTGAATGACTTATTCTATGCAGTAGTTATTACATCTTATAGCTTATACTTCTTCCAGTCAGTGGAAAAAAGCTAGAATTTTGCGGCTGAATGCTCCTATCTAAGCTTTAAAGTGCCAGTGTGATATTACAGGGATAACTGAAGGCATCTTTTATTGCTTGGCAGCAATTTTTGCATGACTGAATAGGTAGGTGAATGGTTGTCTCTAGTGCTCTGTTTCATTATCATGATTTTAATTCAGATTTGCCAAGATAAATCCTTTGTGTATAGGGACATTTTACCTTAGGAATGTGAAACTGAAGTTCAGATCATTTGGAGACTATCAGGTGGCCTGTTACTGATCTAACAAACCACTGTAAGCTCTCCAAGAGCTCAGGTAAAGTAGCTGAGTGAGTACCATTGACTCAGACAAGATAGAGTTTAAAAATGTAAACCTCTTCTTTGAATGCTAGATTACATGATCTTCTTGTGAGGTTTTAAACACAAAATATTCCAGGAGACATGAGGACGTAGGGGCCAAGCTGACTGCAATAGTTTAAACAAATGTGTTTAACCTATTTTTATGTAGGGGAAAAAGCAGCATAAACTTTGGATGTGTTTCCAGTCTGGATCTAGAACCAATATTTGATTTGCCCTTCAAAACCATCCCTTTTAAAGTCTCCCTAGGTATTAATTGTAAGAGAACTTTTGATGGACGGAAGTACTGTGAGAAGAGAGACCATTTCAGTCGAAACTTATTGTGCGGTTCGGATCCAGATTGAAAACATGTTCCAGTCTGTGTTTTAGCTGCTAATTTTTCCTCCAAAATAAAAATGGCCAGCTTTTGAAATAAGATGTTGTAAATATCTTATTTAAATATCCCAGGAACAGTACTCCTTGGAGCCCTATTGAATACTTTATTTCTTTTAGAGACTTCAGATTATTTAGGGTAAGAGCAAATCAGTTGAAAGATGTTCCCTGTAGATAAATGCAGTGACAGTTGGAGCTGTCTTTTCTCCGTAATGAGGGAAACGGCTGTCACTCTGGGGTCGACATTTCCATGCAGCATGTGACCGAGTCTTATAAATTAACATAGCTCCGCCCTCTTGCCCAGTGTTTCGACTCGGTCTATGCTGGCCGGTCGTGTCTCCCTGTGTAGCCGTTTCCTTCATCTCCTGCTGCAGCCTAAATTGTTCCTGTTTGTTAAATTTGGACTCTTATTCCTTTGCTACCCTTTTTTCCTTGGGTTTTTTGGCTAATTTGATTGTCAGCGCTGCATTTCGCCGCCTCGCGCTCCCCTCAACCATCGGGTTGAGCGCGGCGGCGCCTTTGTGTGCGCTTTTCGCCTGAAGTCTCCAGCCATCGGGTAAGACTCTTTGAACTTGGCGCTGCTATTTACTGGTGAGGAGAGCGCTCCTGGATCGCTATTCGGCCTGTTGGTCTGCGATCGAGCCTCATTCCCAATTTCGGCTCTCCCTTTCTCTCTCCCGGTTGCCGCTTTAACAGCCCTTCGGCTGGCAGCGTTTTTTGAAGTGACTGACAGCCCGGATTGCTTTAATTTAGCCGCGATCGCAGTAATAGCCTTGAGCTAGCGATCTGCCTATTGCCGCCTAGATCGCTGAGCTAGCGATCGTTGCTATAGACTTCTGACTTTCGGAGCTGGGGTTTGGCCCCTTTTTACGTCTCAGGACAGCGGCAGCTAATTGTATTAGTGTCGGCGGCCATTTTGACCTACTTCATTTAGCTGGGGCTTCTTCTAAAATGGCGGATAGGCATCAGTCTGCTTCACATCATTCGAGCAGAGCTTCAAAGAGACCTGCCCAAGATGATCCATTGGAGGGTCCCTCTCCTAAGCAGACCAAATCCCATTGGGGCAAAAATACCAAGCCTGTCTCTGCATTTTCAAAGGATGAGCAGCGGCGCCACAAGGCCATTGAAAAGGCCTTTACCAAAGCCCAGTCTCACGTTGAACAGGCCAATCCTAACACCCCAGTGGCTCCTTCAAGAGCTCGGTCACCCGCTCCATCTCTGGTATCCAGTGCCGCCCGGGAGCTTTCGCAGATGGCTCGATTTTGGCTGAACCGCCGCATTTGCCTGGCGCTGAGCCTCTGTTTCAAACAATTCCTGATCCTGAGGCTCCCCAAGGGACCGTCAGGGACGATCCAGCCCCACTGGCTCCTCCCGTGGTGTCTGCTCCACCCATTCCAGAGGCCTTTGAGCTTATGCTAGCCAGGGTCATTAAGCAAGGACTTGCCCAGTGTCTACAACAGGGCAACCCCGCTCCTGAACCTCATCTTTTACAACATCATCGACCGGATCCAGCCGGAGACTCTGTATCCGAACTAGACCTGGCGGATTCTGTGGCATCTCCAGACCACGCTTCTCTGTCTGAGTTGGATGAGGTTCCTGATCCGGCCCTGTCCGATGACGAGGGACTGGTTCCTGATCGGACTCCGTTTATTGGGCTTTTCAAGCCGCAGCTTTTTCGTTCTTTGTTACGCAAGGCCATAGTGACTACTCGTTTGGGCAATGTTTCTTCTGTTCCACCGGATTCCGTTATTTCCGATCCAGCTTCAGCTGTCTTCGCGGAGGCTGCGGTCGACCCGGAGACTATCCCGGCTCCCAAACTTTTCTTAGATGTGCTTCAACGCCAGTGGAATTTACCAGGGGCTGGTCCTAGTCCAAACAGCCTTGACAAGAGACTGTACAATTCTGCTCCCGCCCTTTCAGATTTGTTGCAGCCTTCTCCGGTGGACGCCCCAATAGTGGCTCTCTGCAATTCGTCTCATCCCGCTGGTCCTCCGGAGATCTCTTTGTGCCCGGAAGATCGCAGGGCTGAGAAGACTCTTGGCAAGGGGCACCAGGCAGCTGCCTGGGCCATCAGGGCCTCATCATCGGCTTCGTTCTTCAATAGAGCCGCGCTATTATGGATCAAACAACTTCAGGACCGCATTCAGCCTACCGACATGCGTTCCCGTCAGGATTTGAACAAAATCTCAGCGGCCCTAGAGTTTTCAGCGGACGCTACTCTAAATGCGACTAGATTTGCGGCAAAAGCCCTAAGTTCCAACGTGACATCGCGTCGCCTCCTGTGGCTACGCAACTGGAATGCCGACATGCGGAGCAAGTGGCAGTTGGCTTCCGCGTCCTATTCTGCAGGCTCTTTGTTCGGACCACCGTTGGAACCTCTACTTGTGGAGACTAGAGACTGACGTAAGATTCTTCCCTCGGTTTCCAGACGCTCTGATTCTCATTTTTCAGTTCTCCCACAGAACCAGTCCTTTCGTGCTCCCGACTCTGGTCCTTACCAACACCGCTACCAACGTCCCTTTCCTGCGAGGGCCCACTCCCAGGATACCCAGGTTAGACAGGGAAGTAGGTTCTTTCCTAAGCGTTCCTTCCGGGGGGGGGCAGAGGTCGTTTCCAACACAGATCCCGCTAATTCTGCTCCCATAGGGGGACGCTTGTCCCTTTTTCTCCACCAGTGGGAGGTTTCTACCTCTGATGCCTGGGTCCTGTCTACCATTAAGTCGGGGCTTTATCTAGAGTTCCTTTCCCCTCCTTCTGTTTTTCTTCCCTGCCCCGTTTCCCGGGATGTTGCTAAGAGGGCTTTAGTGTCTTCGGCTATTTCCCATCTTTTGGACATTAGGGCCGTCCAGGAAGTTCCTCGGGGAGCAGTGGGAGCAGGGTTTTTATTCCCGTTTGTTTCTTGTTAAGAAGTCCTCGGGGGATTGGCGTCCCATCCTAGATTTGAAGGCTTTGAACCGGTACGTTACTTACCGCCGGTTCAAAATGCATTCTTTGTCCACCATTTTGGAGTGTATTCGTCCAGGGGATTGGCTCTCCTCTATAGATTTTACCGAGGCATACCTTCACATACGTATTGCTCCTTCCCACCGTCAGTATCTCCATTTTAGTTTTTTGGGACAGCATTACCAGTATAGGGCCCTTCCCTTCGGACTGTTCTCTGCTCCGAGGGTCTTCACTAAAATCATGGCCACCCTCATTGGGCATATTCGGACCTTTTCTATACGTTTGCAATTTTATTTAGATGACATTTTGGTACTGTCCTCTTCTCTCCCTTCGGCCCAACGGGATTTATCTTCTGTCCTGTCCATATTGCAGGCTCATGGCTTCTCGATTAATTGGGCCAGGAGCCAGCTTAACCCTAGCCCCCGTATTACCCACTTGGGGGCTTCTATTGACACGGTTTCTTCTATAGTTTCCCTCTCCCCGGAGCGCCAAGTCAGTCTTTCTTCACTGGCTTCTCAGTTTTGGGGGAGGGTTCTTGCTCGGCGCTGAAGCTTTCCCGTTTGTTGGGCAAAATGGTCTCCACCTTTGGAATAGTTTCCTGGTCTCAATTACACAGCAGACAGCTCCAGTGGTTTCTGCTCCCTCTCCAACGAGCCGGCCATAGTTCCTCTCTCATCCTCCTTCGGCTGTCCCCGCAAGTTTCCGCGTCCCTTTGGTGGTGGACTTCAGACGCCATTGCACGAAGCAGCTTCTTTTGCGAACCTCACCGCCTGTCGCTGGTGACCGATGCCATCCTTCTGGGCTGGGGGGCCCATCTTCTTCACCATCAGGCCCAGGGCCTTTGGACGGTGTGAGAACGTCGGAGCAACATCAATTTTTTGGAGCTGCGAGCATTCCGTCTAGCTCTCCTTCGTTTTCAGCATCTTGTGGAGGGCAAGGACCTCCTTGTCCTAACGGACAACATTTCCACAAAGGCCCACATCAACAGGCAGGGGGGCACTCGTTCCCGGTTGCTTCTAACGGAGTCTCTGTGTCTGGGCTTGTGGGCCGAACGTCACCTCCGGTCCCTGAGGGCAGACTACATCTCGGGGGCCTTAAATGTTCAGGCGGATGCCCTCAGTCGCCACGTCCTGGATCCCGGAGAATGGAGCATTCCACAGGCCCTATTTCAGGAGATTGTGGGCAGGTTTGGGACGCCTGTTGTCGATTTATTCGCCTCCTCATCGAACCGCCGAGTTCCCCGGTTTTTCTCCAGTTATCCGGACCCTCGGACGGAAGCCATGAACGCCCTCCGCAGTCCCTGGCCGTCCGGTCTCCTCTACGCGTTCCCCCCTCTGCCCCTTCTGGCGAAGGTGATTCGAAAACTCCTGGAAGAGAGGGCAGAACTGATTCTCATTGCCCTGCAGTGGCCCCGTCAACTGTGGTATGCGGATCTTCTCTCCCTGTCGGTAGCAGCTACCTGGCACATTCCTCGGGCCTCTCTCTTTCCCAGGGGGCGCTCCAGCATCCGGATCCGTCGGGCCTCCAATTGACCGCTTGGAGGCTGAGCGGCGTCTTCTGACCGATGCCTGGGTCCCCCCGCGAGTCATCTCCATTATGCAGGCTGCCCGCCGTGGTTCTACCACGTGCATCTATGAGGCGACATGGTCCACATTTTCCTCCTGGTGTAGGCGGAACAGGGTGAATCCCCTGACTGCTTTTATCATTGCAGTCCTTTCCTTTCTTCTGGAGGGTTTTGACGCTGGGTTGGCTCCGTCTACCCTGCGCCGGCAGGTGGCTGCTCTTTCTATGGTCTTAACGTGTGGCTCTAAAGAATCTCTCGCCCGTCATCCGCTCATCAGAACTTTCATGCTTGGAGCGACTAATTTGCGACCTCCGGTAGTCCACCGGTTTCCTACCTGGAATTTGAACTCCGTTCTGCGGGCTCTTACTGACTCTCCGTTTGAGCCTCTCTGTGAGGTTTCTTTGCGTTTTCTTTCGTTCAAAGTGTTGTTCTTGGTGGCGATCACCTCGGCTCGTCGTATTTCAGAGTTGGGGGCTCTCTCCATTCGCCAGGACCTTTGTATTTTCCACAAGGACAGAGTGGTTCTCCGCCTTGATCCGGCCTTTCTACCCAAAGTGAGCTCCCTTTTTCATTGGACTCAAGAATTGGTCCTCCCTAACTTCTGTCCCTGTCTGTCTTATCGCCTCGAACGTTCCTGGCATACTCTGGACGTACGACGAGCCCTCCGGGTTTATATTTCGCGGACAAGCTCCTTCCGTAAAACGGAAGCCCTGCTTATATCGTTCCAGTCGGATTCCATTGGCACTCAGGTCTCTGGACCTACCCTGGGCCGTTGGATTTGAGCCACCATCGCGACGGCTTACCAGCGTCTCTGTCTGCCGGTTCCCCCTCGGATTACGGCTCATTCCACCCAGAGTGCAGCAACTTCCGCAGCCTGGGCTACCCGTGCTCCATTGGAAGAAGTCTGTCGTGCGGCCACTTGGTCATCTCTCACGCCGTTCATCAGACACTACCGGGTGGATACCTTTGCCTCATCGGACGCTGCTTTCGGCCGTCTGGTCCTGCAGGCGGTTCATCGCCCATGACTTCGGCAGATCCGGTTTTTCTTTCTCCCGCCCTGGAGGACATTCAGCTCTGGTATGTCCCCAAAGTGACAGCCGTTTTCCTCATTACGGAAAATGGACGTTGGTCTTACCTGATACGTCCGTTCTCGTTGTAGGGAAACATCTGTCACGCCCTCCCTGATGGGTCTAAGGGGTGGGAGGTGTACTAATTCTTTCTCGTTCTAGGGAGACACGTCAGTCTACACCAACGCTCTCGCTGAAACACTGGGCAAGAGGGCGGAGCTATGTTAATTTATAAGACTCGGTCACATGCTGCATGGAAATGTCGACCCCAGAGTGACAGATGTTTCCCTACAACAAGAACGGACGTATCAGGTAAGACCAACGTCCATTCTGCCACTTTGTCTTCACCAGAACAAACAAACAAGGTCCAAATGATAGCTTCACAGTTTACTGTAGTAAAGTTTTCAGTTCTTGTTAGTTGCTGCAGGCAGAATATGGTGTGGATGCCATATTCTGTAATGTTATAGTGCTATAAATTGCTTTGCTTATACTTTGAAACTTAACGAAAATGTTTATTCAGAAGTAATTTAATGACAAGTCTTGTTCTAATTCCTTGTACTAGTTTCTCTTCACTGATCATAATTTCTATACTCAACTATAGGTTTTAGAGGCAGAATGACAGCATATGATATATGCAATTGCTGAGGAACTTGCATCCTTCCTCCAAGTTATGTTGGAGAACATTCTTAGACCACAATGAAGATGATTATTATCAGATGACAAGCAAAGTTAATTTGACTTGCTTGGAAAGTACAGGGACAAAGAACTAATGACACTGATATTCTGAAAAACAGACACTGCCCACTGCAGTTGAGGCACCATTCTTTAAATGTCAGAGTTGACATTTAAGTTGACAGCACTACAGGTAGTCCTTGACTTAACAACAGTTAGTTTAGTGACCATTTGAAGTTATAACAGCACTGAAAAAAATTGACTTCTGACCATTTTTCACACTTAAAACCATTGCAGCATTGTCATGATCATACGATCAAAATTCAGGAGCTCTTAACAATTACCTCATATTTATGATGGGTGCAATGTTCTGGATCATGTGATAACCTTTTGCAACCTTCTGACAAGCAAAGTCAATGGGGGAAACCAGATCCACTTAACAACTTTACTAACTTACTGCAGTGATTCACTTAACAACCGTGGCAAGAAAGATCATGATATGGGGCAAAACTCAATAAATGTCTCGTTTAGCAACAAAAAATTTGAGCTCAATTGTGATTATAAGTTGAGGACTACTTGTACAAGATTTTAAAGTTATTGTACTTCACTGACTCTGGTTTGAAATTATATTTCAGTTGTTTCAATAAAACAATGAAATGGTTTTATTTGTAAACTGGCTGTATCATTGGTTTAGGATAACATGTACCATATTTTTCGGAGTATAAGATGCACCAGAGTATAAAATGTACCTACCTTTTTTATTTCGTTTTTTTATAAAAACTTTTTTTTAAAATTTTTTACACAAACACACATACAAACATACAATGTATTTTCTTTGAACAGAGTATTTGGCCCGTTCACAAATTTAAACAGTGTTTAGTCATTTCAATTAAATTTACAATTTCTATATTTCCTTTTTGCCATATTTATTCCCCATCTATTTTTTTAAAAAAACCAATATTACCCTTCATCCTCATCTCTAATCCTAATCAAATTCAATTTTTCCCTTCTATTCTATATTATACCCCTTCCCATTGTCATCTATTTTTATATCCATCCTCACATTGGTTAATTATGTAATATTACAATTGTTTAATACAAATTCAACATTTTAATATAAATCAATTAGTTATATAACTATCTTTTTTGTATATTAATATGAACATGAATATTCCAATTATTTCCAAATGAATTAATTATATTTACCAATAATAATAAACCAAATAATTTTCCCCATATATTCCTCCAAACCACAACTTAACCATTTCTGCTTTCAACACAATATACAATTAATAGTATCTCTATTATTACAATTCCCTAGTTAAATAGAGCTTTCCCCTTATGTTACTCATTTTCATATCTTAAACTCTCCCAATAACCCAAAGTTTTGCCCATATAATCCTCCAAATCACAACTTAATCATTTCTACTTTCAACACAATATACAATTAAAAATATTTCAATCGTTACAATTTCCCTAATTAAATTTTAAAATGTTCTAGCTGTTACCCAAGCTACAACTTAATTCTTTTTACTTTCACCACCATATACCATTAAAGGTATTTCAGTTTTACAATTTATACTTATTCGTATTTCTAAATAAAAAATAAAAACTTAACATTGTCTAGATTTCAAAATTACAAAGACAAATATTCCAATTATTCATTTCATTTTTACAATCATGATTCCCCATTTATTTCTTACTACTATTCATATTTCAATTCTAAATATGTATAACATCTTTCTCTTCAATTTCTTTTTCTCCCTTCCCATTTTTATTTTTGCCTTTTTTTTCTCCTTTTTTTCTTCTGTGTTTTAAAATCTTGAACCTCTCCTCTTTTGCCCTAACTTTCCCATTGTTTGCACCTACCTTTTTTTGGTTAGGAAAAAGAAGAAAAAGAAATCTCCCTCTGCCTCTGCCTAATTTTGCGACGTTACAGCAAACAGCCTGCTTTACTTTCATTTTCATTTTCAGCATAGCTTTATTAGCACAAGGGAAAAAAAATCTGCTCCAGCAATTTACCTCTTTGCAGCAAGCAGCAGAGCCCTGCGCAAAACAGTTGAGAGCAAATCAGCTGAGAGTTGGGAGGCCAATCTAATCAACTTGTGCTAATTAGGATGTGCTAAAGCTGAAAGGAGCTGTTTTTTCTTGCTGTTTGCTTGCAAGGAGGTAACTGCTGCGAGGCACGGGCCAGTGGGTGGGCAGGGCTACATTTGGTGTATAAGACGCACCTAAATTTTCACTCCCTATTGGGGGGAAAAGGTGCGTCTTATACTCCGAAAAATATGGTAGTCTAATAACCAAATGGTTAAGATAAATAGAAATGTGAAACTCTTTTGAGAATTACACATAATAGGTTAGAACAGAGGGAAACTCAATTTTTCTTGAAGGAGTAAAAACAGGAATTCCAGTATAGATATAGATTTTAGGCATTCAAATTAGCTGTGGGAGCTTTAACAAAGAAACTGTTTTGTACTAAGTCAAATCATTATTCCATCTACATTAGTTATTCTGTTTAGTTGCAATTGCTCAAGGTTTAACATAGTATCTATATATGTGTCAGGTTGAAGATTGAGCTTGTATCTGTTTTAAGAAAAGCTATGTGCTCTCTATAAACTACTGCCCATGATCATCTTGTTCATACTTGCTTTAAATGGGAAGGTAAGAACTAAATATAGTAGCCTCCTCAGTCCCTATGGTACATTCTGTGGCAACTCTCTTGCGACATAGTGTTTTTAAATCATGCTATAATAAATGTTTTATGAGAGCATTAACAAGCACATAGATGGGTGACCCAATAAATATTGCACTCTTAGATTTTCAAACAGCCTTTGACAAAGTCCCTCAAAAAGTATTTTTGAGAAGATTTAATTAACATGGGATACTAGGGTTATCACGGGTCCAGGGGTTTTTGATAAAAAAAAAAATGGTAAAAAAAAGTAGCTGGAAATAGAAATAAAAGGACATCTTTCAAACTGATGAGTTTTCTCCAGGGATCAATGTTTGTTGGCATGTGTGTGTGTGTGTAATACAGTTAAAAAGATCTCCTTGAAGTACAGCTGATCTTTGGGTTATGCCCACTTGTTCAGCGACCATTCAGACATACAGTGGCACTAAAGTGATACTTATGAGTGTTTAGAGTTCTGACCATTGTAGTATCCCCATAGTCACGTGCTTGAAATCATGATGCCATAGTGAGCTGTGATCATATGCAGTGCTCCCTGTTGCCTTCCCACAAGCAGTCAGTGGGGAAGCTAACAGGAACTCTGAAGTCCTAGTCAAGTGATTGGCAACCAGGACTGCTGGAGTTGCTGTTGCTAAGCAATGCAGTCACGGATGCCACACTAACTGTATTGCTTAGTGATGGCAGTTCTGATCCAATTGCCATTTTAAACCGAGGACTAAAGTACTCCTTGACAATTGGGACTATAATTTTGTTCACTAAGTAGTATTGTTGTTAAGCAAGTTATCATGTGATCAGACCTGATTTATGACCATTTTACAGTGGTCATCAAGCGAATCGCCATGTTAAGCAAATTACATGGCCAGTAAGCGAATAATGTGATCATTAAGCAAATCCATCTTCCCCAATGGATTTTGCTTGTCAGAAATTATCTGGGAAAGTTGCAAATTGTGATCACATGACCCCATGATGCTGCAGTTGTATATGCCAGCTAATTGCCAAGTGCCTAGGTTGTCATCATTTGATTGTGGGGAAGGTGCAACAGGCATATCTTCAAGGATTACTTGAAGTTACTTTTTCCAAAGCTATGGTATATTAGACCTGTCTTATACAAATGATTGTTAGTCAACAACTACCTGCAGCTGTAATTATCCTATGTTGATGAATGGACATCAATCTGGCATATTCAGTTGATTGTAAACCAGTATAATAATATATGTTGGCATAAAAATTCTACTTTTTATTAATACAGAGATTGATTAAGAAAGGGTCTTGGAAATGAAAATGTTAAGGAAATGTACAGTTTCTGTAAAAAAAACAAATTCCATACTTGGAATCATTAGCTGAAAATAAAACTGCCATTACAGTATCTGTCCTGATACAAATATATGATGAAGCTTTATTTGGAGAATTGTTTACAGTTCTGGTCATTGCACCCTAAAAAATAAATTATAGGCCTAGAAAAGATGCCAGAAAGACCAAATTGATTGGTCGAGCAGGTCTACTACAAGAAAACACTGGGCAGTTAGGACTCTGGCTTGAAATGAAAAATTGTAAGGGTTGTGATAGAGTTATATAAAATCCTGCAGAGCAGAGGCAACAGAAAGTGAAAGAGTACTAGTTTTCATTTTGTCACATTACTAGAATTTAAGTCATCTAATGAAACTACATGTGAGAAGATTTAAGACCAAGAAGAAGAAATACTTTTTCACATAATTTGTAATTGTTGCAGTGGGAGCCAGTTTGGATAGTTGTAAACAAGGACTGGGCTATAAATATTAATGGCTTGTTGAAAACTTTTTTTTGTAGAGTGCCCGGCTCCTAAACTTAACTTTTATTAAAAACTGCCCAAAATATAAAAGAACACATTGATAAGAAGAGCAAGAATACTGAAAAAAACCCATCACTATAACTTCCTAGGTCATGGACAGTATATCCTTTATATGTCTGTTGTTAA